GGTGCACAAACGATATTCCATGCCCAACCGGAAAACAACATGAAACCTTTAATAGATTTACACAAAGCGTTAAATTACCATATAAAGATAATAATAATAATAAATGAGAGAAAATATTACCTAAAACTAATAAGGAATGCATTGTGACAAGACCGACACGATTACTCGGAGCCGCATAAGAAATAAAAAAACAAACGTTTGCCAAATGAAATAAAATATGTTGAGGATCCCTCCAACTTTCGCACCATCTTAAAGAATCTAAAAAATTTTCGTATAAAAATAAAACCATTTTTTTCTTTTTTTAATTACACGTTTTAAAAACAACAGCAGTAGGGGAGTACTTTTCCATTTGAATGTTTTTCCGAGACTTAAAATTAATTGGCGGCATCATCATCATCATCTTCATATTTAGATTCCAGTTAAAAAAAAAAAAAAATTTTTTTTTTTTCGAAAGAATATGCGCAATCGTAATTTTTATCCTGGAATCCGATCAGGTTTTTTTTTCTATTTTTTTTTTTTTTTACTGTATTATTTGCCAAAAAAAACATAATAATAATAATAATAATAATAATAATAATAATAATAATAATAATAATAATAATAATAATAATAAATCGATATTAACACGAAAAATGTATGAAAACTAAAACTAAAGTTGGAAACATTATTATTATTGTGTCTCTCGAATTAAACGAAATGTTTATTATTATTATTAAAATTAATTAAATGTTTATATTATTATTATTAAATCTCTTTGAAAATTTATTAATTATGTGATTATTATTATTAATTAGTTTAAATCATTATTTGAAAAAGAAAATTTTTTTTTAAAAATTTTTGAATGCACGAGTGCATTCAAAAGAAAATTAGGAAAATTCTCACGTTAATTACATAAAAAAATTTTCTTTTTCTTTTTTTTTTTTTACTTTTGACCTTTTTATCATTATTATTATTATTATTGTTAATTGCATTCGGACAGTTGAACATCTTTTAATTATTATTATCCTCATTGTTGTTGTAGTGTTAATTAATTTTAATGGCAATGATTGTGGTTGTTGCGGTTGTTGTTGTTGTTGTCAAGGTTGTTATTGTAAAATGTAATGATGCTTTTCAAATTTTTTTTTTTTTTTTTAATTATCATCTCATTTTTTATTACTAGTTAATTTTTTTCTTTTTTAATTTGTAATCCATCAAGGTTGGTTAGTTACTTTTGAAATCTGTTGACAAGTGCGTGTGTGTGTGTGTGTGCGTGCGCGTAAATTTAAAAAAAAATGGCGGGATTTTAATTAATAAATTTCACATCATCACAATCACTCCTTTTTTTTTTAAATAAAATAACTGTCAATGTTATTATAATTGATGAATTTTTTTTTTTTTTCAAACGTAATTCTAAAGGATTAATTATTATTATTATTATTATTATCGATAATTATTACTTATTATTATTATTATTTAAATGTGATACTTTTGCGAAATTATGTAAATGAAAAAAATGACGCAATTTAAAATTTTTTAATTATATTGTAATTGATATTATCACGAGTATGAATAAAATATTTAGAAAAAAAAACAAATATTATTTACGTAATAATAATAATAATAATAATAATAATAATAATAATAATAATAATAATAATAATAATAATAATAATAATAATAATAATTTAAATCTTACCGAAAAAATTAGATGTATAATTAAAAACTCCACCGTCAAATTCCCAAGTTATATTTTTAG